TCCAGGAGGCGTGGAGAAAGTTTCTCTTGGGGTGCTTTCTCTGTGGCCCTCAAACAATAGTGTGCTGTGTTTTCTCCATGTTGTTAAGAGTGCTTGCTACCCAGTTTTTTAAAAAAAATCTCCTTTTCTCATCCATAGAAAGGTTTTGTCAACAACACCAGCAACCCAGGAACCCCAACCTCCCTTCCTCTCACACGCCCCAGTTTGTCATCTGGTAATATCAGTTCTTCCTCCCAAATAGTTTTGAATCCATTCACTCCCTCCTCCCTCCTCCTTACCACCGCCCTGGTGCAAGGCACCATCGGCTCTCACAGTGACTTCTGTAACTGCCTCTAGCGGGTCTCATGCCTTCCACTCTGGCCCCTGCACGGCTTAGTCTGTTCCTTCCCCACCCCCGCAGCCTCCTCTCCGCTGGGCTCTGCCCTGACCTCCCTTATCTTTCACTTCCCTAAGGGACCCTCCTTCCCCTCCTTCCAGGACATTGCATCGGCTGTTCCCTCCTCTTGTCTAGTTAACCCTGCTCAGCCTTCAACTCTCAGCTCAGAGCCCACCTCCCTATCTAAAATTGGGTCCCTATTATATACCTATGGTACCATGTACCTTTTCTTTATTTCATTTTTATTTTTATCAAAAATCACACATGCTCATGCTTGAGAGTCAATTGGGTCAACAAGGTGGGTTACCAAAAAAGGGCTATCCTTTTCGTCAGAGGCAGCTACTTTCAGCTCTTCGCTGGTTCCTTTGGAATCTACCTTTGTTTGTAGGTAGATTCCAAATCTTCCTAGTTTTTCAGTTTTATATCAGCTATTGACTTCCCGCTATGGAAAAAGACAATGTTAGTCTTTTCTGTCCTTGTGCCACCTTGACACACATGGACCCTTCCTAGTCTATCTGTTGTGCATTCTCTGCCAAACCATTTTGTAAATCTTGCTAAACAACTTTCTGTTTTCCCTGGAGTTTGCTTTGTACTCTGCATACCTACCACAAATTCTACCCCAACCTTTCTGCCAGTTTCCTACATCCCCTTAAGAGGTTTAGGCACATGAAACAGTTTGTTGGCTTCATCTCCCTGAAGGAAAGTGCCCCACAGCCTTCTGACCGCCTTCTGTCTGAATTGGTTGCCCCCTCTGCTGGCTCTGCGGCTGTCATTCTGGGATTTCTTGTCACTGTCATCCTGGGGAGTCCCTTTGCCTTGCTCTGTGTTCTCCCAGTCCACATCTTCCTCTTTCTTGGTTTACTCCCTCATTTTGGTTGGTACAGTCGACCCTTGAACAACATGGGTTTGAACTGCACAGATTCACTTATACATGGATTTTTTTCATCTTGTGAACAGAAAATGTAAACTTACAGTATCGATTAATACAGTACAGTAGTACTGTAAATGTATTTTCTCTTCTGATTTTCTTTTTTTTTTTTAAGTTTATCGGGGTAGCATTGGTTAATACAATTATAATTTTCAGGTGTACATTATAGTTTGACATCTATATATTCTATTGTATGATTACCACCCAAAGTCCAGTTTCCTTCAGCTACCATATATTTGATCCCTTTTACCCTCTTGACCCTTTTATCTCTTTGATTCAGATATTTATATGGGAGATTTTGTTTTTAAATAGAGTAGAGCAGATGACTTTTAGATTGAGGTAAGGATTTGAGGGGGGGTTGAAGATAATGACAGAAGAAAATATTATGATAACTGCAGATTGAACTCAGTGTAGAAATGTTGAGACTGAATTTGAAGGCGCTATTTTTTAAAATTTATTTATTTATTTTAATTAGTTTCAAGTATACAGTACATTGGTTAGACATCTGTATAGTTCATAAAAAGATCCCT